CAAGTATTTCACCCTTAAATTCATCTCTAGCCATCTTGTATAATATGCATTTTAACTTTAGCAAAGAGCTTTTGCTTGTGTTTATATAAACATGGCTGTTTTGATCCTTAAAGAAGTGGCTTGACTTGAATATAATGCTTTGAATTTGAGAAAATTGATGGGCATATAAAATTGTTTTAATTAAAATTAATGTGTAATTAACATTTTCCCCAGACATTTTGCATATCTTTTATAGTGGAGGATATGAAAGTCTGTGAGATCTGTATGCTTGCTAGGGGTAGATGCCTTACATTCACCATTGTGAGCAGTGTATGGGTGGGAGCTGGGCTGCAGCAACATGGAGAATATTGGCCCAGCTGCGTGGACCCTGGCTCCATCCCCAGTGCTGTAGAACCAAGCAAAACAACGCCAAACATAGATGGCATACTGGCAGGTTTGCATGACCATGTGTACAATACAATTTAACTTAAAAATTTTTGCATACAACACAGTTATGATCTAGTGTTGAGATAAATGATACCACATACTATAGTTTGATTCTCAGCTTATTTAATATGCTGTTAGAAATTTTGGAGTTTTGATGGTGTAGGAAAGTATAATGAAAAAATATAACCAAGTGAAGAATGAAGAAGGAGGCTGGGCATGGAAGCACACATTTTTAATCCCACCACTGTGAGTGGATAAGGTGGGATGTTCACAAGATTAAGGCCTACTTGGGGCTACCTAGCTAGTTCAAGGCCAGCCTGGACTATATGGTGAGACCCTACTTCAAAAAAATTAAAATAAAAGAGTTGGTAAGCACTGCCATTTATATCTGGGTCTATCCTAATAGTTTTGGAATTGAGGACTAAGGCATTTACTGAGTTGGTTAATCACTAATAATAAAATGTAAAAACAACTGTATTTTTTTTCTAACTAGACTATAAGTTCCTAAGTGCCAGTGCCTATCTTACTCATTTTTTGCATTTTTTTAATTTTTGTGCCAGAAATCCAACTCAGAACCTCAAAGTGGCCAGGCAGATGCTGCTATGGTGCTGAGCTTTGCCCCCGGCCCAATCTTACCCATGTTTGTGTCTTGTGTATAGCACACTGTAGATGTTTGATACTTTTTTATTGTTTGTCCACTTTTGTGAAATACACTGTATCTCGTCTGTCCTAATTATTTTCTTGTTGCTTGGACAAAATGCCGGGTATCCACAAGTTAAAAGAGAAAAGGATTATTTTAGCTCACAGTTTTTCAAGGTTTCAGGCCATAGTTGGCTGGCTCTAAAGTAGGGTAACAAGGCAGAGAAGGAACGGTCCATGGTATGGCAGGCCGGAGGCAGTGAAATTTTCTTCCTCCTGTTTTTATTCCATCCAGGCTGCAAGGTTATTGTTTGGTTCCACTCACTAGATCTTTTCTGTTCAGTAAATCCATTGTCCATATCCACATATACCAGTCAGGGTTTTACTAGAGAAAAATAATACGAGATATAGAAATTTACAAGATTGCCTTATAGTGATCACTCACAGAATTGGATGAGGTAGAGTGCAGGAGGTGTCTGTGGACTGGACACCAAAGTTTTCAGTCCAATGTCTGGAGCCTCCTACAGCGTCTCATGTGAGACCATAGGAGAAGGCCAGTGGGTCTGCCTTCAGTGTAAGACTGAAGAGTCTATGCTTTGAGGGAAGGTTCTGCACCAGAAGCCAAAGAGTCTGCGCTGGATGCCAGCAGGCAATGTACAAAATGAGAATAAAGACTGGAGCTCCTCTGAGGAAACAGAAGGAGTCCAGTCCTTCATTTCCCTTCCTGCCATCCAGCGATGAGTCGACATAGGGTGGGTGTGGAATTGCTGAGCCAGCTAAGTTAAGCTTCCTTCTCAAGTGACACCACGACTCAACCATCACACCAGTATCACACACCCATGATCCATCTACCTTCCCAAAGCTCCCCTTAAGAGTGCATGAGGCTTTGAGATACATCTACATATAAGCCATAAAGCCATCCTTTGGACTTTTCAGTATTTTAAGCCTTTTTTCCCCCTGTACTCCCGATTTTCTCAACAGCATCATTCTGTATTTGTCTTCTTCTTCTTTTAATGTACTTGGTACAGGGTCTCACTAGACACCTTAGACTCATAGTGATCCTCCTGTTTGCAGCCTCCACAGAACTGGGATTATAGATGTGTACCACTACACCCAGACTTAGTGGCTGGCTCTGCATGCCCTGGGGCACGGCCCGTGCAGCCTGTGGTGTGGGGGATCAAACCCCAGTCTCTGCTTGCCTAAGTAGGTACTTAGTCTGCTCAACTACCTTGCCAGCCCTGTTTTCTTCTTTTCTTCTTTAGCCTCTTGGATGACTGGTTCTCCCTAATGACCTGTGCACCTCTTCGTACTGGGCTGTAGGAGATGCACAGCTTAGTGTCAGCACTGGCAGTCACAGTACTGTGTTCATGAGTGATGGTCAATAGTTTCACCAAACATAATTGTGGACCAAGAACTGTGCATCAGGGAGCTGTTTCTGTGAGCATTCTGATTCATAATGCTGTGGTGAGGCCTGTTACTTGAACTGCAAACATAGCTATGCAGATATTCTTTTTTAGGTAAAGAAAGAGTAAGATGATGTGGATCCAAAAATACGTTATCCTTTATAT